TGTTAATAATAATGATGTTTCTGATGTTAATGAATCTAATGTTAGTAGTGGGATGGGGAAAATTCATAAGTTATAAAAAAATTACAGAAAAAGATGAATCAATGATTCTAGGGATGCAGATGGATATATTTCACCGAAAAATCCAGCTACACCATCAAAGCTAATTAACCTTTAGAGGACGGGATGGCCATTATAGTGGCCATAGAGCTCCCTGTTTGAAAGGACGGGGTTGTCCACTTTAGTGGCCATGTTTCCCCCCCATTTTCCAAGTGTGTGTGTGTGTGATTATGGCAAAGCCTCAAGGGCTATCTGCCTAAAGGGAGGGATGCCTTTTGTGGAGGACTTTCTAAGGGAAACTGGCTCGTATACACGTTACACATGGGGAAAACCACGAAAACGCCCATGCAGCCAGCCCGTTCGCGGGGATTCAAACCTCGGACCGAACTACCAGTGTTCCGCGACTTTACCGCTCGGCCGCTGGTGGGCCCATTTTCCAGGTTTAAAGAGTGGGGTGTAATGTCAAATTTCACATCCCTGGGGTTTTAACCACTTATCTCTTTCAAAGGTCCTTGTGTTAAGGATCCAGTTTTTCCCTTTTTGTTCTTGTAACTACATAGCTACAGAATTCGCGATCACTATGTTTGTAAATTGTAAACAGAGCCTTGCGCTGCTTTAGAATATTGCATATTTTCGTAAACTTTCTAGAATTATTTTGACTTTTTCTAGCAATGTGGCGAAAAGGAAAAGAGGGCTGACTGAAGAAGAAACATGAAAACTTCTTCAAGAGTTTGATGATGAAATATATACACATACATATATCTGTATGTTTAAATATATGTATGCATAAATCCACATGCAAACACACATATATAAATGCATATGTATGCCTGTGTGTGTACATATACGTGCATGTATATACTTTATTCCCATTTAAGGGTATGCATGCTTTTCGCTTTATGTACATATCTGCACTTATACCATATTATATAAATGCAGACATACATACTACAAGGATATGCAGGTATACATTTTCATTAAATATAAATTCCCATGTATGTAGTTCTGTCTGTCTGTATTTCTATATAGTATATTTGTTTATGCTGAAGTGACCTCCACACACGGAAGTTTTCTGTGATGGTACTGTTATTCAAACAAATCACAAGAACATAAATATAAATTTTGTGTCAAAGAAACAAAAATAGCTTTACAATTTCAGTCTGAAACCTGGATATCGTAAATACACTGAAACTAGTCATCAGTTTGAAAGGCCATCTCTAGCCATTAGATTCTAGATGTACTGATGGCACATTTTAAAAGGTACCTCCGTATCAGTATCTCGATTTCATGGTCAAATAATTTTGAAGTAAGATGTTCAGAATGGATTAGAGTAGCATTTGTGAAATGTCACTACCCGCTGAGCTCCGAGAATACAAACAGAAGCTCTCAAAAAAATGTGCAAATCATTGTTATATCACAACACATGTTCCCCATCTGAATTTCTGAACCTTGACCTTTTAACTGATGGAATGCCTTTGCCATTCATTAGACGTATAGCTCAGCAACTATGTTAAAAGACAAATAAATTCATGGTGGCATACCTTGGCCACACAGTTATGAAATGATTTTGATACAGCAGCATGATGACCGAGGTATTAATGAAACCAATGAATAGCTGCCAAAGTTTCAATAGAAAAGGGAAAAACAGATCAACTGTGTCAGTATCGAATTCGCATGACCTGACAATGAAGTTTTTGAGTAACTGCAAGTAAAGATACTCATTAATATATCGTAGAACTTAAATTCCACTACATAAAATATGCCGCCATGGCGGATGTCAAAACTGCTACAAAGATAGGCTGGAGTTGAAACGAACTTGGTTTAGGTAATAGAGGAAATAGAAAGATTCACTTGCGATGACGATTTCAAACAGGAGAAATTTTTGCTGACCGGGCACCTGAAATTATCTGGAAATTTCCCTTAATGTGCTAAATTATGTAGCATAATAAAATATAGAATAACATAATACAGTATTGGAGACAACAACTAATTATCGTATAACTTTTGTGATGCAGTTTTTCACATGCTATGCATAACACACAATTTTCCCTTCAATTTGAAAAACTCTTTGTACTAAGAAATTACCTAAATTTTAATACCCGGGTGAACACATTCCCTTAGTGAGGCTGGGAATTCAATATAAAAAGACAAATGGAATTTATGTTTTGAATTACGGGTTTGCATACTATATCATTTGACATTTTTAATGACTTAAATTCATTCTGTTATTAATACCTGAAATACAGTACAAAGTCCGTAATCCGGACGTTCATTATCCGGAATGATCTATAATCTGGACCTCAAAGCCACAAACTTTTTTTGTATGCTTTACGCATGTGCGTAAAGAATGCGCATACATTACGCGTGATATACTTCCACAGTCATAACACCTTGGTTCTTTACTCTTTATTATTTACACAAAATAAAACGCGTGCTTTATTTTGTGTGTTAGTACTTGAATAACCCTTCTATCTGGACGCGAATTTCTCATAAATTTTTAATTTCTCTCTTGAATTCAGAAATAGTTTTATAACCATATAAAATAATTTTTCTATCTGATTGGTTCCATTGATTACATAATCAAAATTAATGAATCATCACAAACCGCGACTGGCTATTTCACGCATGGCAATTAAATATTTGGAAAGGGATTCACCAGGTTTTAAGTGTCGTTTAAGTCCAGACATAGTCTAAATGAACTGCATTTTTTCTACTTAGCACGGTATTACTTATGTAATCAGAACAGCTTGGTCTAATGATTTGTTTCTCTAACCATTCCGAAATCTGTACATCAATTTCATGCTGCACTGCCAGGGATAAACGTCGCGGCATGCAATGAACTGGAAGTTGATCTGTCAGCACTATCCTCATCTTCAGGGCAGATGTTTTTATTTTATTCGGCTGATAATTCCTACTAAATGTGTATTCATCTCGCGTACTCCACTTTGATGATTTAAATAATTTCCTCGTCATTATAAAATCACGAATACACATCAATATTTTCTTTTGCAATTTTCTAATTCGACTGTGCGTAACGTATGTTACTATGCACACACTTGAAATGTTTAATAAATAAAAAATAATATTAAGCTTTTTTTTTTTTGTAAAATTTTATACATTTTAGATCATAATTGCTTCTTTATTTCATAAATAACGTTTCATATTTTGAATTGTAATTTTTCTTACCAATTTATCTTACCAGATTAAATTGATATCTATAATTCGGAAAACCCCCTTAATCAGAATCGCCGAAGTCCCGACGAGTCTGGATTATGGACTTTGTACTGTATATCACTTACTAATTTTCAATAAACAGATATGATTAAATAACCTTTTTTTTTTTCTAATTTTTAAAACTAAAATATATTATTCTAAAAATTTATTTTTGGAGCTTCTGTTTTATTATGCATATATTTTGGAAAAGAAATGATTTTAGTTATGAACACTTACATAGTTGGACATTGCAGTACTAACAGTCTATAATAAAATAAAATAATTTTTAATCAAACCAGATATATTCTAATTTGCTGAAAGTTTCCTCCTTAAATAGCACACTATCAAGCAGATTTTTAACAATTCCAATGAACTTTAATTTTTAAACATTTCTATAGCGTTTATATTTTAATTATTCCTTGTAAAAAAAAAAGTCTGAGATGAAAACTGGTTAAATTTTAAATTGTGTATGAAATAATTTTGCGACATAACATTAATATAAAGATATGACAGAAATAATTATTGTAGTCACAATTTTGTATAATTTTAAATGGAAGTTTACACATATCCTTCTGCATAACACCCAGTAGTCTTAATCCGGAACAACTGTAATATCAAATTTCCCTCAGTGACGAAAAGCATCTTGAAATCTGCCCACTAATCTCTATATTTCCCTTCCTTTTGTGACATAGAAGCACCCCTCTGAGATTCCATTAAACTACGCACAAGAATCTTTGTTGCAAATAGATAGGAGGTGATTTCTTAAAGGGAGGAAAGCATTCGGTTCAAGATATCCTGTCCTTTTAAGGCTTTTATGGCTGCCAAAGCCCCAGCCTCAAAAGGTTAAAGGGAATTTTGAGTTACTCACTACTAACAAATTTAGGCAATTGTCTAGTAGTATTACTACTAAAAATAATAATGAAGTTAATCATGAAATTGAAAGTATGGACACTCAGACTGGGCAGGCAAATATTGATGTATCCATTCAACAGCCTAGAATCAAGCCCATAATTTTGCAGCCTGTAATGAAGTATGCAGATTTTTTTTAGGATATTAAATAAGGACATTGAGGCTAAATTCTCTGCTCGTGTGAATAAGGACTTCCTACAAGTCTTTCCCCAAAGTGAAAATGATCGTCATGTCATTACTAAGTACTTGGACGACAAACAAGTTGGATACTATGCTGTCAGTCAAAAATTTAAGAAACCAATAAAGGTTTTTATGAAAGGTCTTCCAATATATCTAAGGATGAGATTGAGTTTAAAGTAAAAAAAAAGTTGCTCAAAAGAAAAGCTCCAATGCTTATTTTCCAAGTACAGTTTAAAAACAATACGGGCATTGAATGGTGTATGAAATTAAGAATTTAATTTTTTACCTGGACTACATGAGACAGAAAATCCTGCCGACAAACTATCCGTACTTTTTTCAATAATCAAAGATGTTTTTTGTTCTCCTGGCATAACTGTTAATGAATAGTTCTGTTTATCAATCCTTGGATTGGATCCTTATTACATGGAACACAAATGGATTGTCTCATAAGATTAATTGAACTACAGGATTTTAAATGTGCATACCCCCGACATTATGTTCCTAAAGGAGCACAGGCTTAGCCCTGCTCATCCATTGTATAATGTAAATTATAAGGTGTAGAGATCTCGCATAGAATTACATGGTCATCAGAATAATCTAGTGGGAGGCACAACAATTTTTATCAAGTGCTGCATTGGTCATTATACTATTACAACTCCACAGCTTTTAGCCATTGAGGTCCCAGCTATTACACTCACAATACTTTTGTCTCCACTTTCACCTCTATGTCTGGATGTTCCACAGGCACATTTTGCAGCAATGTCTGCCAGTTCGTTCCCTTTTATACCAACATGACTTGGTTCCCAGCAATAAAGGATCCGAAAACATTTGGCCTTGAATCTAATATTGAGCTTCAGCACTTCTACAATTATTGGATTTATATTATTTGAATATGATTTGAGAGCTTTTAGCACACTTAGCGAGTCTGTGTAGAAAATGAAATTTTTTCTATGTTGTTTACCTATGAAGGATAGGGCTAATAGTAGAGCAACGATCTCTGTAGTAAAGATGGTACAAGTGAGATGAAGTTTCATTCATTTGATTGGATTCTCACACACGAAGGCTGAGCCAATGTGATCCTGGGATTTAGATCCATCCATATATACTGTAACATGGTCATTGTAACCCCGTCAATGTTCATAGAAAAACTACTTGTATATGATATCACTGGTGTTATCTTTAGCTAAATTGGAAAATATGTTGAGAAGCTCAATGTGTGCATCTTCCCAAGGAGGTGGTTCCAAATACTTTACGGCTTGGACTCTTAACCTCTTCCAAGTCATGATTTTTTATCAACTGTCAGACGCATAATCCAAAAGCAGGAATACAAGGAAAATGTGCTTGGTATAGCAAATAAAACCGGTTATCAGGCACTGAGAGGTTGCCTGGCTAATTAAGATGTGATACAATTTTGAAGTAATATTGAAGAGACAATTGCTCATGCCTCAGCTGGAGGGTTGGCTCGGAACATTCTACATACAAACTCTGCACAGATGCTCTGAAAGCTCCTAAACAAATTCTTAGGCCTTAATGGCAAACAGGATCAAGCTTCTCTATCGCAGAAGGCCATGCCAATCCACAGACTACTGATTTGTAATTGAGTTTGGAGCAAATAAGAGCTTTGTAAATTTGGAGCATGGAAATTTTATCTGCACTTCAGGACGTATTCGACAATGCTTTCAGTTAATGTTCAATGAGACGTGGTCATCCATCTTATTTACCCAACTATGGCGCTTCAGGTTTTCAGCTGCTTAAGTCAATTTAAAATTCTTTGAATGGCTGACTTTGAAGGGTGTCAAACAACACACGATTTTTTCCCAATAAATATACAGAAAGCTTTGAAACAGGAATATGCCTACTACTAAAAAAAAAAAAAAAAAAAAAAGGAACAAATTATCATCAATTAAAATGGCACATACATTATTCAGTAAAATGCTCAATGGTCTATATTGCATGTAATATAGGTTTAACCCTCTGAGCTTTATGACCGGGTTTATCCGGTCATCAGAAGTTTTGCTTCTTAATATATATTAGCTTATAGTTTAAGATATTTGCTTCTTACTTCCTTTATAAGGTAAATCATCTTAATGAATGTAGTTTATGAAAATACAGACTGAAATGAGTAATTATACAAACTAAATTAATAAATGCTGTTTAAATACTGGTTTTCATGACGGATCTAAAATCCTGTGCCACTCAGAGGGTTAAACACTTAAAATTTATTCTGATTAAAGTTTGAGAGAATGAAGTTTCACAGTATTTTATTTATTAAGGTATTTGGAATAATCAAACATGAAGCAGATGCTTTTCCATACAGTATTATTACAAAATTGGGCATAGGCAGGCATGTTGACTGGTTAATCAAAAGTGTATTAAAATACATTTATCTATCTAGAATTTAAAAAATAATGAATGATTTTTCTGAGAGTTTTTCCTTGTAAAATTTTTTTACCAATGACATTGTACCACTATTTTAAAAGTACCTAAATGTCATGCGGATCAATACTTCGTAGTTGCTATTTTTCCATATATTAAAGGGAAGTCGTTTATTATATAATTTATATTTGCCTCTGAATGAAAAAAATGAGACTGAATTCCGAGACAAAAAATGAGGCTGAATTCTGAGACAAAAATTCTTAAAACAAGTGAAAAATATATGTAGAGTAAACCATGAATTTCTTGAAATGGTCACTTGAAAGGAGTAAATCTGCTTTCACTAAGAAAAAAGCCACAAAGTACTTCAATTACATCAATTACATCATTCAATTACATCTACTTCAATTACATCAACAGACTACTATGCAGGCACACAGTTTAATTCAATACAAATAAAAGGACATTCATGAACCTTTTGCATTGATAGAAATTACTTACTTGATATCCAAATGCTTGAGGAGAATTGTCTATGATGACAGTCTTTGCAAGATCTCTACCTAAGACAGTGAGATCTTTGATGTAATTTCCAGCAATACAAACACAATGCTCTCGAAACAAGCGATACCTAACAAAGATGATATCCTTTAATGAATATTTCACGACTGAAAATATTTTATATAAGAATTCCTCTGCTAATGCACAAACTTTTTCTAATAAATACACAACTCTCAAAATGAAATGAGATTTTACATATTTAAAGGATTTTTAGATTAGAGAAAATTTTACATTAACAGCAAACAAAAACACATTAAACCTAAACTATACATTGATAAAAGAAAAATATGGAAACATTCAGTAGTTGATAATAAACATAAACAAATTTTGTTTCTCAGTGCTTCTAGTGAAAAACTGCTGCTGTAAAAAAGCTGATTCAAAAAAATAATCAAATTAAAAAACTAGAAAAGCTTTGACTCTTTTACACGGTTTGTTGAACATATAACACTGGGAAAATGCCACTTGCATTGTTCATTTGAATATCAGCAATTCAGCAAAGCAGTGGCATCTTTAGAAATTATTCATTCATAAACTATTAACTATATATATATATATTTAAAAAAAATACTCTGTACCAGGTATGTAATGTATGACATTAAAAACATTTATTAACTACAATAATGTTGCAAATAATCCTGAAAATTGTCGGTTGGATGTATTATAAACAAAATGTATTTTACATTATATCAATATCAGAAATGTTATTGAAAATAAAGCTTTACATTAAGAATTATATTTATTCCTTTTAAATTATTAAGTCTGTTAAGCAATCACAGACTGCTTAAATTTGAAAACTAAATTAAAGATGTTATGCTTTGCTGACTGACAACATTCCGTAAACTGACTATGCACAAGGCCTAGTGAAAGATAAATCAAAGACCTTATGTTTTGAACAATAGCAATGCTTGTCATGCCTTTATGGATAATGAATGCATAGTAGTGTAACGTAAAGGTTTAAAAATTTTAGAACTCGATCAAAGATGTGTTTTAATTCCACTGTTAGCTTCTAATAGTAATTTAAAGCTATATGGGGCTTTTTAGTTTTTAGTCGTGGATTTTTATGACTGGCTTTGAAACATCTATTTTAACTTTTATACAGTAGTGCACTGCATATCATAAACGGCATGCATAAGAAATTTTCTTTAATTTTTGAATAATTCTTATTAAATGTTACATATATCAACATTTCCAGGATAAACAATGATTAAAAAATGAATAGATAATAAACTGGTTCTCATACTTAATCATTTTTCTCTTAGGATCTAACAAGTTAAGTAGCTGTTGTGCATAGACCTTTTTTGATGCAGTGAAGATTATTATTTCAAACAACTTGGAAACTCTTTCCAAAAATTCTAGAATAAAGGGACGTGTGCGGACATAAACCTGGATACAAGACAAAACACTTAAGAATTTTTACACTACTAATGAATAAAATAATACCTAAATATAAGAATAATATTTTCGTCAGAATGTTTAGAAAACTAATACAAAAAAAAAAAAAAAAAAAGTTACGCAACACTCATATATACCATGAAGGCCCTACAGATGGCTTATAAAGAAAAAACTCATAACTACTTCATACGTACAATGTAAAAGAGAGATGTAATTGTTTATAAAAATTATTTTGAAGTAAAAATCAAATATTTGAATTACACACACTTTTATAAGAGATACAGAATAGCAAAAGTTTCTCCCACAAGTCAAATAGTAAATTTTTTTTTTTCAGCCAGTACTTTGAGCCATGGTAAACGATTAATGTTTGCTCACAGGCAAATTCAATTAATTCAAGAGATTTACTTAATATTTTAATATTAAGGAGGTGTAACTACAGGCTCCCTACATTGTAGCAAAAGAAACATGCATACACATGTCCAGACTTTAAAGGTAAACTCCTTTTTGCAAAGGTATAGCTGAAGAATTCAATAAATCAAATTGTTGCAATTTGATAAAAACATGTACAGTCAAAAGTCGTTAATTCGGACCTCAAAGCTACAAACTTTCTGCGCATGCGTCGCATTGACCTTTACAGCTGCTAATATGCGTGTGCGCAAAATACGTTTACGAATGCGCGTTTATGTAATGACGTAAAGCTAAGCTAAATTATCTAATTCAGTTAATGTTGCAATTGCATGTTCCTTATTCGAATTGGATCCGGCTTATTTTTTTTGCAGACTGTTAGAGCAATTTTTTATAAAAGTAAGCTTGAAACTTTCGATTATGTCAAAAAGAATTTCTGATATATATTACTAACAATGTAAATGATCTACAAAGCGAAGTATGTTTTGAAGTCCATTAAACAAAAAGTGGAATTGCTGCAAAAAATGGATAAAGGCATATCCTTTGTTTATCTAACAATTCCGAAATCTGTTTATCAATTTCACGCCACGGCACGCTATGAATTGGAAGTTGATCTGTCAGCACTATCCTTAACTTCAGGGCAGATGTTTTTATTTTATTTGGCTTATAATTCCTTACTAAATGTAGTACTTCATGTCGATGTACTCCGTCTGTGATATGATTTAATCAAATTCCTCATCATTATAATTCGCTTCCGATAGCAAAGAAAGTGACACAGAGGTTATTGAAAACGAAAAAATTTCGATTGACAAATTAGTCGGCATCTCGACACAGCAATTTAAGGACTTGAACAGCGGAACTTTTGTAACTGAACAAGAAAAGGTCTGTTTATAGATTAAAGAGAAAGTATTATCGCATAAAAACGAAGCAACTTAAACAACTTACATTGAAAAAAATGTTTAATAAAGTAATGAATAAATGTTAAGCTTTTTTTGTAAATTTTGATACCCTATAGATCATAATTGTTCTTTATTCATAATTACGGTTTCATTTTTAATTTTTATTTCTGCATGCCTTTTCCAGATTACTGATGATTTTTAATTCGGAAAAATCGATAATCTGGAATCGCCGAAGTCCCGATGAGTCCGGATTAACGACTTTTGACTGTATAAGAAAGATGCTGTATATGCAATTTAACTATTTTCACATTTAGAGGTGTTAGAAAATATAGCTTATTGTAAACCTTTTACTGCATCATCTCTCCTCCTTGAAATGTTTATTTAGTTTAGTTCTTATTTTAATGTAATATAGTAGTTACTTCTACTTCTTTTTCTTGCTGCCACTGTTTGCATTGAGAACGGACTGTTTCAACCTAATTAAGATGCAAAAACGAAAGTGATGTTACGTCATCTGAAAAGCCGATTCGTGCCGATAGCTGATTGGTTGCCGTGAGATGACGTCATTCCTACTTCTGCTATAAGTATCTCGCGTCGCTCTGGCTCAACCCTTCTAGTTCCTGCTTTCCTGGCACTTGAGTGAGCGGTTTCCAGCCCCTTCAGAAGGATGCATGCAGTCCGGTGAATGAAGTGCCTTGGTTCCGGTTTGCGGGATGGCTGTTCCTGAATAAAGTTCCTTGGTGCCTATCCGTGGGATGGTTGTTTCGGAATGGGTTCCTTGGTTGATATCCATAAGATGGTTGTTCCAGAATAAAGTTCCTTGGTTCCAGAGATTTCTACCATGTGAGTGACTGCCGTGGGCGGCATCCATGTTCTTCAATGAAGAGCGGCATTTAAAATACGTGAGCGGCGATTCCTTGTGCAAACGGAGTTAGGCCGGTTTTAAGTGTTTTCAAGAACTTCATTTAAAATTTCAGGTGTTTTTCTTGACCATTGATCATGGACGTTATTGAATGTGTAGCCAGCTTCATTTTTAGGCCGCATAATTAACTGTTTAGGACATTTTATTTGTATTGAATGCCAGTGTTTTGGAGACCAGGTAAAAATATTATTTGATGAATGATGGTTATATTATATTTTTCCTAAGACTCTGATTGTTGAAATTTATTTTCTGTGGTTTTTATTCTTTATTATATTGTTAATAAATTGGTTAAGTTCAAAACCTTTTATTGTCTTCAATGTCTGCACAACATGATATCTCAGGGAGCTTTTATTGCTACTACTGCTAAATGTTTAATTTCTTTAAACTTTAAACTTTGCTTTAGCATCAAGAGGATCACTCAGATGCTCAAAAACTAATGAAGAGGGATTCAGGACTCCTGATGAACTATTTTTGTCTGAAATTCCGAACATAAAAGAACAAATCTGCAAACACAAAATTATTGACATATCTTAAAGATATCATCTAAGTGACTTTAAATCTCAACGGATTATATGACAGATGAAAGGTCTAAGAATAACCAGACAAAGGCAGAGTTCAAATGGATGGAATAAGAATGACATGAGTTCTCAATGCATTGCATGATGTGACACTTCCCTAAAGCCACATAATAAAACTGAAATTTAGCAGTAACACATAATAATAGATGCTACATAGTAAGCCTACTTGTAACATCACCCATATTGCAGCACAAGAACTAGGGTATCTCACCAAACTGTGGCTCAATGTTTGAATTACCTAGGACTACATGTCCAAAGAATGATTGTGTACTGCTTTCCAGAAAGTACCACAGAAGACTTTTGTCATGGTATGAAATCCACTGAAATCATATGAAATAACAATGGAACAATGTTTGCTGATGACAGCGATTCCGTGTAACTGGATTCTAGACACCAGTTCATCTGGAGTGAAAGGGAATAAGGTTTACCAGCTGGAAAGTAACACAAAAAGTATCATTATGGTGGTGTTTAAGTGATGTTATAGGGGTTGAATAATGTCTCACATATGTATCATTTTACATGTACTGGATAATGACATTATGGCAAATGACTGCCATTGTAAGGAAGTTGCTGAATATCATGTTCTCTTGTTAGATGGTGATATTGATGGAAACATTTCTTTTTGTGGATAATATAGTCTCTTAACCCTTTAATTGGCAAATGGTGAAAACAAATGTTGCTTCTGAGCAACTGTACCAAATTAAGGGCCACCTACTAGACAGTAGGGGATCTTTTAGAGAGAAAAGATATGTCAGTTTTATTCGGCAGCATATTCCCCAGGCCTTAACACTATTCAGCACATCACCTATGCCCAAGTGCTTTGAGAAATTTTCATGCAAATGATTTCCTTCCATTGCTTTCAGTTATTTCCAATATTTTATTACAATTTTATGTTACACAAAAAGAAATAAACGGCTTGCAATACTTGTCTCCATTTATGAAGTTTTCTTTATACAGGCACAAATGCTGTTTATCCTTAAATTCTGGACATGCACATCTTATTTATGCACTTAGTAACTGCAGGAACATAAGACACCTCATGTTGTAATGAAACATTTCTCTAAACCAAAGTAAACTTTAAGTAACTAGTTAATTTTACCAAAGTAATAATTATTTGTATAAAAATAGCATTAGTGCTTGTTTCATAATTATTAAGACTGCTATAAAGACTTTCATTTCTAATTAAATAATGGATTTTCATTCTGGAATATGTACACACTTGTTTAATTCCCCAGATTGAACATACTGGCTTAGCATTATACTTTAATGTTCTTGACTCTGGGGGCATAAAATACACAGACTCAGTTCCTACTGCCCCAAAAGAGCAGCCTTTAGTTTAAGTAAGCTCCTCACCCTTCACGGTCTCCATGGCCCCAAGGAGTGGTGACCCTGGGAATCTGGTTTACAGATGAATGCATAGAGTTAAATTTTTAATTCCTGCCATTTGGGGACCAAGATCCCAATGATGCTCACCTCCCACCTATTTATGGAGGTTAAATAGGTCAGTCCGTGTAGTGCCTTAAGGCAGAACATGTATAAATTTTGATATTTTTATTCTGAATGTACGGCATTTAAGAACTTAAGGTTGCAAAGTTTTTTAATAGTAAATAAGTGATAAAGATAACAGTTTTAAAATTCAATACAAACTTATGATAGTTTAGTTTTTCTATTATAATACAAGTCTTCATAGTACAAGTCTCAACTGAAAAGCAAAATACACATAGGTATTAAGTACTGCTTTCAAGGCCTGGCATTTTTACATATGCAAAGCAGAAAGCAACACAGCAGTCAAAAATGCAGCTGCTTCACACAAGTTCTTGACATTTGATTTTAATGAATGAACGATATATGTAATAATTATTTTCAATAAAGAATTTTCTTCAATGAAACCTTTCTTAAAAAACGTTCTTGCATACAAAAGGAGCACCTTACCTACTGGTGTTTGCAAATATTTTAACCAATCAATCCAATCAATTTACATGTATGAGATACAATTTATGTAAATACTGGACACCATCAGATGTCCTCAAAATTTATAAAGAAATATTTTGGAAACTTAACTTATACAGCTTAACACATGTTACATATTCCAATTTAAGTGTCAATTTATATAAGTTTTTTATGCTTATTAAAATCACTTCTGAATAAATGAAAAGGCATTAAATAATTATGGTTGGAAAAGAAAGAAAT